CAAAACAGCGGGGCAACGGATTCCGGAGAAATCAGACAGAAAAAACGCCCTCTAACCGGTTTATAGCTCACTCACAGATAAAAAAATATCACCAAACCTGCCAATTTCATCTTTATGAAACAGATATTCCAGATTTATGAAAAAAAATTTCATATGAAGAAAACCGCGGGGCAACCGGTTCCCCTAAAATCAGACAGAAAACACGCCGTCCAACCGGTTTTTAGCTCACTCACAGTTAAACGTTTTCAAATTTTGGTCACCGGTCAAAGACTCACAGGTTCGCCCGCACATGTAGCGCACTACATGAACAGCTGCTGATCGCACAACTTGCTTTTTTTAAGCTGCAGTTCTAAGAAGGGCAGACGCATGCGACAGAAGAACACTGCGGATTTTAATTTAAATATGAATTTCTCAGTTTACCGAAGATACAGAAGAAATAAAAATCTGCCGATGACGGGACTCGAACCGTCATCGACAGATTACGGCGTCTATAGCCGTCCAGTACCAGCTGTGTCTGTAACCGTCCGTCTTACCACTGATCTGCACCGGCTGCATTATTATTAATTTTCATCTTAAGATTTTGGCGCACTGTGCGACTGCCTTTCACAGTGTTGAAATCGGCCAAATACTGATTTAATTTTTATTTGTCAAAAATTGTAGACGTAAAAGGCCGGTTTTTTGGGCCTCTCCCGCTTTAGAATTCCTGTTACCAGGTGACCGAAATATGAAACTGTATAAATAAAGTGACCGAATTATATTTGGAGGAAAAGCGAAGTACTGATGGGAAGAATTTCAAATTCAAAGACACGAAATGGCTGAAAAACAAAGAACAAAGTGTCCGGCTAACAGCGATCTGAACTTAAATGTTGATGATCTTTCTGAATTTTTGACGCTCTACCAACGCAGTAATATTAAGCGCACTGTTGAGTGCTGACTAATAATACTACTACTTTCAATTTATCATCAAAAACTTAACAGGAACGGTCAATGCGTATGTTAAGTTTTTGTTATTTTTGTTTAATTTAACTTCAATCCGTTTCTCAGTTTTAGTATTCAAAAATCAAAACTACATAATTCGAATCCGCTTCAAACAAAACCTGTAAAATCCGTTCAGTCCAAAATATTGATTGGATCGGATTTTCCAGTCCGGTGCAGAATCAGTCGCATCGGAGATAACAGCATTATGCTGGAAGAGCCTCATATGTTTATAGTAACTTTATACAATGTATTTTAAAATTAATAATCATTAACCGTGTCTCATGGGCCATGGCTGTACCAGTGCAGCCATGTCCGAAGTTTGACTTCCTATTTGCACACCGTCCGGAGTCCTGTGTCGGTTTGCAGTGTACTGCTACAGCTAGCACGAAATATGTACAATAATGCAGCATCCACTATGGTAACAACATCCACTATATCGTTACAGAAAACATACACTGAAAACTGTGCACACTGTGCACACCGTGCCAGTTACGCCCTGCGCAGAAAATCGATCATTGAATTTTGTAAGCAGCCGGAGCTACGCATAATGCTATCTGTACGAGTACTTTGTCCACATGATCGTGAGACACGGCGAGAGTGAGAGTGTCTGAGAGGGAGCAAGCAAATGTACGGTGTATTGGGGACATTCCACACACACCGGTCGATGAAAATTTTTCCAGTGGCACACTTCATGCTCTTAAAATCGTCATGCGAGCTGAATAGGCTAGGCGGCACTGGTTAACATCCATTCCATTGCATTTTGCGTATGCACAGCCATTCCTTGTAAGATCATGATTATTTTGGAATCTTGTGTAAGAAAATTCAGCACTGGGAATATTTTTTGTATTTGACATGAGATATAAAACGTTATTGTCGGACAAACCGATTTTTTAACGACAGAATATTAAAGACTCTAACACTGACATTTTGCTTAATTTTTAGCACAGATACACTGCTTCTTTCCTTATTCTAGAACGAGAATCATGGCACAAATGTGTACTAATTACCGCTTAGACTTTTGTGTGGCGGTCTACAAAAGCCTGTGCGCGCAACGATCGTACGAAATAAACTCGCTGTGGTCCCCGATATGTGCAGAACTCGCCGTTCTCATGGCTTATCTTGGTGCAAGGGGAGAGACTCGACAACAAATGGCGGATTTGCTAGGTCTCAACAAAGACTACTCTGTGGAGCACTTTTGCGCGTTGCTGACTGAGATGAAGAAGAACGAGGATAAAAACCACTCGTCCACCAAATGTATGTTCAAAAATTTGTAATCTACTTTGTATATCTATCTATCTTCTCGTATATCCTATATATTAATAAAACAAGACTTAACAAAATTCCATTTGTGCCTCCCTTTTTCGAGCGACACAAGAAAAGAAACGCTAAATGTCCTTATGTCATTCGAAAGCTCAAAGTTTGTAGATTTGCAGAAACAAGTTAGTTTCTGGGGAGATTCGGAGGTTTGCAAGAAAATTTCCAAAAAGCCAACATATCAGGTCTACGAGAAAAGTGGAGAAAACACAATTGTAAACCCGACCACGCCACCACTGTCTGACTGTCTCCGCGTTCGAAAGCAGCTAAAAGCCAAAAACAGTGTTTCTGTCAACTCCGTTAAATCTTACTTAACATAAAATGGAACCCGTATGGCCATGCGTTGTTCAGTAGCCTTGAGTTCATAAAATATTTCTCACTCAAAGGCTGTTTTGAGAAAAAATACAACATCTGAAAGATAGCTTTAAAAACTCAAGTCAAGGTAAAAGTCACTGGAACTGTTCAAAGATAATTAAAATAGAGTAGCTGCCCTCCGAAGCGAAACAGCCGAATGTCGGCTGTTTCGTTTCAAAGTACAAACTTAGTAATAGCTGTTTTAAAAATTTTAACTCTTTGTTGTTAGTGATGAACTGCTATTCGGGAATAGCGACGTAGTATGTTCAGGTTATATTGAGTTTTGTGATGTGTGCAAGTACAGAGGGTGTTCACGCCAAGTGCGGCCACTAACGAAAATAATTCACATTAATTTTCCATCAAAGAGTAATGGCTTGCAACCTATTGCGATATTTAATCTGAAGTCTGTCTTAGCATTTAACGTTTGTTAGAAGTTTGAAAAAGAGACTGGCTCTAAAAACAAAGTTTAAACGAGGTACCGTAACGCGCGTAACATTTTTTTTACCTGCTTTTCGATTTGCCAGATTTATGAGCCTTTGAAGTTGACAGGTTGTTATTTTGTTCGATGAGTCATAAGAATATCTCATCAAAGAATTTCAGAGAAAAGAGATACAACATCAAAAGGAGAAAAAACCCGAAAAAAAGGAAGAAAACCTAAAAACCTTGGAGCGAGAGACGCCTCTTTTCAAAATTCACTACTGCCGGATTAACCCAACACTTTTCTTTTTTTCTCCTTACTTTTGTCACCGTTAGCAACCTTACATCAGTGATCAGATATACTCAAGCCATTTTTTCGGAAAGATCTTCTGGGCTACACCTTTGGTAGAAAGAAAGGTGACTCTCCTTCTGGACACCCCTCGGGTGTACACAGTCAACGAACCAGTAGCTCGAACCTCACCGAATCGGATATGAAATGAACAGCAACAGTCTTGGCTAAAAACAGACTGAGCAGCAGCAATCTTGGCACTCTAAAAATCACATAACATGATTCGGAAATTAACACAATTTTAAAATTAATTTTGTGACGAAACGGTGTGCCGTCTTTTTTCGATTTGTTACGTACCCCCGCTAGACACTGTTTTAGTTGTTAAATTCCTGCGTTTCGCAGATCAGTTTGCAGTCAACGAAAACTGAATTAAATGATAGTTGATGAAAAATGCTTTCAGATAATAAATTTACATAACTAAAATCTGTGCGGGCGAGAGATAAAAAATTATGAAAACGTATTGCTGTATATATGGTATTACACTGACAATACCATGTACAGTTGTACGTGTAAATCGGTGTAATACAATAATACTAGCGGTGGTTGCGAACCACATTATTGCACGAGCGCGAGCGCCAGTACCACTGGGAAATGGTATTGGGATTGTGGAATTGGAAAAGCGTGACGTACGCTCTTCGTGGCGTCAGACAAATTTGATGCTCTTGACGAAGACTTATTGCAGCACCTCGCGCTTCGCGCTCGGTGCAAAATATGTACAGCAATACGGCAGTACGTCAATGGCAATACTGCAATACATGCAATAATGTTAACCATTAAATTCGTGTTTGGCCACGCCCACTGAACCATTGCAGATGAAAGTATTTTTATAAGTGTTCCCATACATGTTCTGTCCTCAAACAAAAAATGAAATTTTTCTGAGGGGGGAGCCGTGACCGAGCCCTGGTTAGAGATAAATTAAAGTCAGAACTATTTTAGTACAGTATTGTATTGTGAACGATCGGTTAACGTTCGATCAGCGGTAAAGAGTACGGGTAAATTAATAACCGTAATAAATCAACTTTAACGCTTAAAAATTAATAAATAAATTAATAATAAATCAACTAATGATAATAATTAATAATAAATAATAATTAATAATTAATAATAATAATAATTAATAATAATATTAATAATGAAAATTAATAATAAATTAATAATAATTATTAATAAATCAACTTTAACGCTTTGTACAACATACAGTAACACGAAAGTATACAAGCGCTAACCAAAGTGGAATCATTAAAATCTGTTAAATAAAAATGGTAATTTCTGAGAAAGTAAAATCAAATTTATGACTTAAGGAGATGGATACAAGTAATAAATTTTTTTTGTCAATGGCATCAAAAAGTGAAAATAAAAGTTTGTTTGGTGACTTCGGTCGTAAGTGACTAAGTCCACGGGAAAGCTGCACCAGCGATTTATCTTGTCTAAGCCGTAGACCGTAGTTGCAACTCCGTAAAGAAACCAATCACACCGCGAGGCGAAGCCAGTGAGCTCCACGGAGTTGCAGCCCCGTGCAGGGATTTGAGGATTCAGTGAGATGAACATAAAATGAACGAGAGAAACTGGACATTTTCGCGTTACACAGATCGCCTTCGCGAAATTCAGATTCGCGATTCTTATCGCAACGCAAAATGGACCCACGATATACGGTAGGCTCTTGCACGTCATCACGGTGTTCTAAATTGAGCATGCAGCTTAAGGAGCCGTTAGAGTACTCTGCGCGAGCTGTTCATTTAAACTCTATAGGCGCCTTTGTTATAATTCAGATGTTCACAGAAAGATTCATGGGCTGTTAAATTTGGATATTTTGGTAAGATGGTACCAAAAAATAATTTAGAATTTTGGTTTTTATCGGGTTTTCAGCTAAGCGATCGTTCCCATATACCAAAGCTTAAAAATACTTTGAACTGCAGTATGCTTCAACTCAGAGGCAGGATTGGACCGAGTCGTGTACCGTCTGGGCGTTGCGATCAATCAACCATATCAAAGGTACGGTCACGAAACGGTGTCTCACCGTATCGTATACGGGACCGTATATCGCGCCTGTGTGGCGATAAGAATCTAACGAGCGTTAGTGACATTGCCAACCTTTTCAAAGGTACCTTAAAAGCGCGATCGAAACTTATGTTGCCGCAAGTATTGGTGCTTTTGCGTTTTAAAAAGCTGCAAACCAAAACCAGGACGCTCGGGACTCTGTATTAGAATTTAGAACTGGTCTGAGCTCAGAAAATTCTTCTTAAACTGCAATGTCGGAATTAGAAAATCGGCAGGTGTATGACTGTGCGAGTATGTATGTAGGTGTATTGTTTTGGAAATATCGCCCGATTTGCGAACTTGCGACAGCACATCGGGATCGGCCTTCTTTACCTTTGCCCGCCCTTTGCCTTTGCCTTTACACTTTGCCTTTTTTAACTTTACCTTTGCCCGCCCTTTGCCTTTACCTTTTCAGTCTGCCCTTGTCCACTTTACCTTTACCTTTGCCTTTACCGCTGTGATTACCTTCACCGTCCAAAAATTACCGTTAATAAACACAGCTTCGAAAGTCACACATTAAACCACACTAAACACACATATAGAGCATTTGCCATAGAAACCTCCGAGTTTGATCTCCTTCGAACGAACGATCAACACCTTGAATCTTAAACAGATCTTTTCGTGCCGGCGTAATACATAACATTGGCGGTAACCTCAGAGCCGTGGACACTTCTGAACCCTGTACAAAAATTCCGTACCGAGGGTGTTCAAGATTAGGATGTTCCACTGTACACCGCATCTTGTGTTTCCATGTTTTTAATGTTAATTTGGTGCATATGCTGGAATAAGACACTTTTGCAGAAATCTGATGTTCCTAAACTCTTTTCATGGGGTTAAAAATAGTGATAAATATGTGTACATTCTCTGTCCTTGTATGAGAATGTACACATATTAATCACTATCACATCCTGTCAATAATTCCACTACAAAACAAACGCATGTTAAAATTTACTGCATCAGCAGTCATCACAAAGAGTCTCATTTTCGAAACGGCAAAGTGGCGGTGATAGTTATTTTTCTGTTGGTTGAATAATGAAAGACGCTTTTGAAGCACTGTTTATCAACGGTAATTTTTGGACGGCGAAGGTAATCACGGCGGTAAAGGCAAAGGTAAAGGTAAAGTGGACAAGGGCAAACTGAAAAGGTAAAGGCAAAGGGCGGGCGAAGGTAAAGTAGGCCGACCCGCGCATCGGGGCTGAAAGCAAAATTGGATAATTTACACCTAGCCGACGAAATTATTTCCTACGTTACCGACATTTTTGCTAAAGTGCTTCGCTTTAAAAGCTTACTGTTCTGCTGTTTGTTTTTGTTCTTTCTGCTGCAACTTTCTACTTTCATGCTTTTGCAGCTCCTGTTGAAAACTACAAATTATTCCTAGCCACAGCAGGATTTATTGAAGAAGAGCTCCCTCTGAACGCCGAATACACCGATACTCTCCGCACTTTATTCAACACTGTGTGTCAGCCTGTTCACTTCCGCACCGAACCTAGTGAAGCTGTACAGCGCATCAATCAGTTTGTGGAGAATCACACATCCGGAACAATTCGCGATACACTAACTTCGTCAGACATAAACGCAGATACCGCATTCATACTGATCAGTTCCGTGTACTTCGAAGCGGAATGGGATTGTCGATTTTTCGAGGAGCACACGGTAAAGAAACCCTTCAACCTGGCCGACGGCAGCCAGGTGATGGTGGACACCATGCATGCGATGACGCGGTGCCGGTATTACGAAAGTAAGGAACTGGGAGGAGCACGGTTCCTGCAGTTGTGGTACGGCGAAGAACTGTCCAGCGCGTGTTTCATTCTCCCGGGAAAGAATGCCCGCTCGGCCACGTGGACACCCGGTTCAGCGATGTCGGATCTGCAGAGAGCCTTGACACCCGCGCTGCTGAATAAGGCGCTGGATTCTCTCCAGCCGATCTCGTACGGAACCATCCAGTTGCCGAAATTTCGCATAGAACACAGCATCGACATGGAAAGCACGCTGCAGAAGCTGGGCATGCGGTCAGCTTTCTCGCGGAGTGCGGATTTCTCTGGTATATCTTCGCGTTCCCTCCGCATTGACAAGATTAAACAAAAGGTTTACATCGGTAAGCAGGAAAAAATGTACTCGTCAGATGTACAGCATCAAGAGCCGCGGCAAAATCCGCGAACAAAAGCCACGAACTACAAAACTAACTACGAAACTTTATTTTCATTACGGGTTGCTTTTTGATCGTATGTACAGTAGTGCTCGCAAATCATCAGCATGAATCAATAAATCATGCCGGCTAACTGCTAACGCTCGCTTCACTAGTATAGTTGTATGTAAATGTACAAACGATGTTCGTTCTTTCAAATCCGCGGTGTAGTTACTACACCACTTTGTATGTGCAGCCAGTAGCTGTCCATTGCCTCAACGGCGTATCGCATCATAGGCGGCTGCCAGGTCAGCCGAAATGTTGTGAAATCAAACGCGTTCCGTATTTCGAAAAAAAATCTTCCGTTGCGTTCTTTGTAACTTAAGTCACAAACCAACTTCGTGTTTTCCAATGCTTATTAGTTTATCGAACATAATAATTTTCAAGCGTTTAGCTGTGAAACTGTAACTTGGCTTTTGTGATTACATAAACATAAGTGCGCAGATTTTATGCTGAATCAGAGCCATTAGAATATACTCGTACAAAGCCTGGAAGCTGATCTTATCAGCTAAACGGAGCTCCGCTGAGTTAGCACACAAGTCTACGGAGAAACGGCAGAAGTGGCTGTTTAAAAATACTTCAGTCATCCAAAATACAGTACTTCAGCGCATCCATCAAAAATGCGCAGGTTTCGAGCACGGTGGCCACATGAAAGATAATTTTATCCAGTTTTTGATGGATTGACCAAGTATGCTTTGTTAAACCATGAATTTTTCGATAATTTTCAAAACGGATTTCTGTTCATCACAATGTGAACGCGCCAGGTTCTGAATGAATAGAACGTTTTCCAAATTATCCTGCATTACCTTCTTGGTTCGACTGTAATTTTTTTTAAGGTAGCATCCGTTTCGCCACACTGTTTTGTACACCTCGTACTGCAAGCGCATCTCTCTACCTATCTTGCAAAATGAATTATCTACGACTTCATTTTGACCAACGGTCAAAGAAGGCGGGTCTGAATTCTCTTCAAAACAGCGGAGTTTGGTTGAAGCCGTGACCGTGTTGTATGCCTGCTTCCAGGCTTTGTTGAGTTTGTATATTCTAATGACTTTGGCTGAATACGGTGTGATGCAGCAGCCTCTCTGTCTCTCTGAACTTTTTTTCCATTTCATTAATTTTGTCAGTAAGGCGTTAGCGGATAAAATGAGTTAAGCCCTTAAGAGTTAGAGGCAGTTTATCGCTGTTGCTACGACTACCTGTCGCTGTCGCTACAACTATCGCTGTTTTATTTTATCAATTAGTGACCTCCCCGCTTTAGAGGCCCACCCCGAAATAAAGACCCCACTGAAAAGTCGTTTTTACAATACCTTTCAAAAATAGGTTTTCGCCGAAATAAAGACCACATCCAAAACCCTTACGAAAAAACAGTAACGCTGGGTTACTAGTCGATAAAATACGGTATGTGGCTGCGCGCTTTTCCGTTCTCCTGAGGCTCAAGTGCTAGTCTGTTCGCATAACCTCGTCGCCAGCTTGCTACCCTTCCAGCGGACAGGAAGACATAGGCCAGTTCATAGCGGATTGCTAGTTGCTACGACTAGACGGCATCCGCCCATGGCAACAGTAGGTAGCAGCAGACTGTCTGACTACGCAGCAGTAGTTAGCCAGCGAGAACTCATCCTGTGGAGCTATTTGCTACCACAACGGCTAGAGGAGACCATGCGTACGAAATTGGTAGCAAGCAGCCAGGTTCGATTAACTGCCAGGCAGAACGTGTTAATTCCTATCACCAATGTTTATCAAAGAAGCCGTTCAAGCCGTTTTACTAACAACGGCTTCATACGCTGATCCTCGTGATCGACGACTTCCACGTTTACACGAATTAATATCGGTCCTCCACTTGTCACCTTTATTTTTTTCGTCGTTTTTTCGTTATCACCGTCATGGTTTAGTTATCTATGCATATGCCTAATCAAGTTTAACCAGCCAGAAAAATTTAGCTTCAGATACATGCAGAGTACAGAGGGTGAGCCACCCACATTGGCACACTTTTGGTAGGAAATTATTTGTGACTTCTGGACTCAAGTCCGGTCAAATCCGCTGATGAAGTTTTTCCCTTAGCACTCGGTGAACGGAAAGCAACTAATTTTCCATGAAGATTTCGCGCACACGTGACATAAAGTGACCACAAGTGTCCGCGACCGGCGAAAAAAACGCACACAAAACGTTTCACTTCGTATTTTTGTTTTGAAATGATTATTAAATGAAGCAAGCATTTTTTTAGTCACATTCAGTTTCTAATTTTATAAGATTTTAAGTACTATATGAAAAAGTACATTGTTGTGTGAAAACCTTAATCAGGATCCCGAGGGAAAAAAACATAAGGTTTAAAAAATTGGGGATTTACACTTTCAATGAAGCGGCTGGCTTTTGCAGTGGGAAACTCGTGGCAAAAAACCGCCGATACCGATTTCGCTTCGATATAAACAAATATTTATTTAAACAGGCTTGTAGAAGATATTCTGTGAAATTCAGGACGAATGGACAATTTGTTACAGAACGGCAGATGTTTTCTGGACTTCCGGTCAGTTTTGAAAGCCGACATCCAGAAAAACTCAACTGTGGCTTTGATCAAAACCAAATTACACTTGTCTTAAAGAGAATTGATTCTTTAACAATTTAATACAATTCATATGTACTGATCGGTAAAGGGGAATTTTTAGGAATTTGTTTTGCGAAAGGCGTTCCAGTTTTGAAACGCACTGTTTTACTACCCCGCTCCAGGTTTTTCTTCCTGGATTTTGAAAGGCATCCTTTACTAAGCTCAGATAAATTTATCAAGTATAGAATACCCAAGGTTATCGGGTAATGTTTTTGAAAAAGTTGTTGTAGACGAAAGGAAGTTTTAAAAAATCAGTGTGTGCACTGTGCCAATGTGGGTGGCTCACCCTCTCACCCTCTGTACCCTCTGTACCCTCACCCTCTCACCCTCTGTACCTACTGTAAAGTGTACACAGTACAGTGTCGAATATTCTGATTTTGTTTAACTTTAATGTGCTTATTATGTTTATTCAGATGTCAATGAGAGAGGAACGGTCGCGTCTGCGACAACATTGGTAAGACTCAAAAACTGCAGCCTACCACCCCAGACTAGAGTGGAATTTGCAGCCGACCGACCCTTTATGTTCCTGCTGCGGCACGAAAAAACTGGCACCGTCTTGTTTATCGGGCACGTTATGGACCCATCAGCGGAAAGTTAAAAAATGCGAATCTCCATTTTATTAAACGTCGCCCTCATTATTTGATATTCCAACATGTTTCACCATTCATTCGTTGCTTAGGGGCACTACTTGTTAAATGAAATTTTGCAATTCTAAATCTGTGCTAAGGGAGCCCAGAAATTTCAATCATTTCATACAATACCGGACTGCATGGATCACGCTGCTGGGTTGACTATACTATGTAAATTAATGGTGTATCCCGCAGGTCGGCCAAGTTTACCTTTGCCTTTTCTTTGCCTTTGCCTTTTCACTTTGCCTTTCTCAACATTACCTTTACCTTTGCCTTTGCCGCCGCGAACACCTTACCGTCCTACTTAGCCTTACAAAAATGCCGTTCAAAATAACCTTTACCGTTGCCTTTAACCGTTGCATAACAGAAAGCCGCCAAATACTTTACCGTTTTCCGGATTTTTAGCGCTGTTGTATCTTTACCGTGAATGTTTACGAAAATATTGTTTCAGTAATACATGAGGCACCAAAAGAAAACACGGCAACCATTTTATATTGTATGTGTTATCAATTTCTCATAGCATTATAATAGAATTAACAAGACGAATACTAGCTGGCACACAGTCCTGGTTCGATGGAAATAACTGTTCGCAACTTGGTAGTCATACAGAACTGTGACCTGTAGTTCCATGCTAAAACTACCACAAATTTTTGTTTTACAGTATTCAAGTCTGAAACTAAACTATTTAATAAGCTGTATCAATGCTAATAAAGTCCAGAAACAATAAAGTGTTTGACGGCAGTCTGCTATGCAACGGTTAAGGCCAACGGTAAAGGTTATTTCAAACGGCTTTTTGGGACGGCTGATTAGGACGGTAAGGTGTTCGCGGCGGCAAAGGCAAAGGTAAAGGCAATGTTGAAAAAGGCAAAGGCAAAGAAAAGGCAAAGGTAAACTTGGCCGACCCTATCCCGCTGGCCTGAAGTCATTACATTGTATGCGATTTTTCCTCTTACTGTTCCCTATTATCCAAAATAATGTCACTTACGCTTGTAACTTTCGGAATATAACATTCACTTAACTACATAACCATAGTCCATTAAAGTTTTAAACAATGAAAACGACGCGAATTCGATTATTTTTCCTTCGACGGTGGTAAAGCTTCCGCAGTGCGGCCAGTTTAGGCTGGCAAATGTTGACCGTCATTTAGCTGTTTTTCCTGGTGCTCTCAGTGTTTCCACGGCAAAAGCATAGAACAAAACTTAATACTGTTTCCAAGGAATCGGTAATTTTTCATTTCCATTTCTGGGTTTTCTCCTTGGTGCCCTGCCAAACACCATTCTGCGCTTCGAAATTCGATCTCGATATACAGTTGATCAGTGTGCACGTTGAAATTTCTCTTCAGTCGGCAGTTGCGCTTGTGCGTTCTTGATTATTGGGAAATCTCTGGCTGAGCTCGTCCCAACTAATCTGTACATCCGATGGCAAACCGGCTGGCCAGACGGCGCCGGAATGACATAAATTAACCATACTAGAATCTCTCAATAGGTATCAGTGAACTGAAGGCGCCCCCACAAGTTGCTCCATTGGCAGATCCGGCCCGTTTATTTCTCCATGCATACGCTGCGCTAAACAGCGAGCAATGCGAGTGCAAATATCCGTACATCTCACTCTGTGGAGCAACTTGTGCGGGCGGCTACAGTACTCTACAAAAGTCGCGCATAGCTGCATTTTATGTTTAATATGTAGTTATAATTATGTTAATCCTGCTTATTGTTAATACAGATACATAATAAAGAAGCATGCTCCTTTGTCGAATTCTAATGTTTGCATGAATATTATTAATTAATTCAAATGGTTAATTCAATTATTCAGTTAATTTCTAATAATTTATTCGAGTTTGCATTTGTAATATTAATTACCGAATAGGAGGGCAACATAAAACCCAGTTGGCTTCTCGTCGCAGGGACATTTTTTGATGCAGTAATTCGGTGATTCACCGTAAAGGAAGAAGAATTTAGAGGCATATGGATAAATAGCAAGATAATTGGGTTTTCGCTTATGCACCGTTGTGCATAGTACAGTATTTCATACTTCTGCCGGCAAAACCATACAGTAGCAAGCAAGCACAGATCAATAACGATCAAATCAGTAGCGATGCACAATACTGTTGTGACAATACGATTCTAGCTAAATTTCCTGAAAGACAAATATGCTGCCTCGTTCGTAAAAATTAGCCTTTATTGCAAATTTACATCAGCAGTCAATGCTGCACCTGAACTGTGCGGACAACGTTGAGCGTCGAATCCACAAACCTGTCCATTAGCAGCAAACGCGGTTTGTCTGTAACATGTCCATAATTTATTATCTAGCTGCTTCATAGTAACCGCTCGAATGCGCTGAATTGTTGGATATTGGCAGGGAGCGCCGTTCAAGCAGACCGAAATGGCCATGTCACATTTGCAACTACAGGAGCGGTGGATCTACTGAAGAGTTGTTCATGAAAAACTTTCACCGATGACCGAAATATGGAGTTTTAGTCTGAGAACTTGTGCAAATGTTCTTGATCTTCAGTAAGCGAGGAACGCTGGTCAAACGAGGAATGCGTACCAGCACAACCATAACGTACTTTTTACAGAAATTAATATAATAGTACGTACCTGCCTTGTTTTTTTGGCTCACAGTCTGGCTTATGAAGTTCGCGCAACTCTTTCCATATATTATTGGAAACTGAATACTCGGTCTAGCTTACCTATGTACGTATTGACCGAAAATTTAAATTTACTGATATTGTGAAAGATCCATTACACCGTGGTACTTTTTCAAGCTAGGCGGCACAATCTGTACAAACCCAAATTTGAACACTGAACGAATCTCCACTTCCGGCAAAAATATATGATTATGTATTATATAGAATGCTTAATTTTATCGCATTCCCGTCGGAATACGACGGATCCGTGCAGTAAAATTATTACATATTACGACCCACATGATACCAAACACGAGGATTTATCCAATATAAGCGCATATTCTCTGATCACTGTAAGCGGTAAAGTATCTTCTCAGTTGTACCACACTGCAATGCTCAAGAAACGTGGGCAAGGTAGGAGTTCCATACTCATATTTCTCCTCATACCGATAAAATTCATTATCATACTCATACTGATGTCATAATTATAATCATGCCAACGCTCGAGGTTCTCATAATCATAATCATAACGATACTTAAATCCACATACTGAAAACCGTACTCAAATACTTATATCTTTTGCTTTTTAAATTTAAATTTGAATTTTTAAGTTTTATTTTTGCAATGTACATAAAACTTGCCACCGTCCGCTTTAATGCTGCGATGGAGCCAAATGCAAACGTGCCCGCCCAGGCAGTCGCTCCGCCACACGCGGAGCGACTGCCTGGGCGCGCGCGTGGACTCTGTGAACTCCTTCCGAGTAGAGCGTTGTAATACCAGGTACCAGCTATCCACTTGTTGGACGCTCCAGTAGCTATTTGCACCCTTACTTAACTCTGTGTCGGCAAGATTTATTTTATTCACCATCTGTTTATTTAAACTGTCGTTGCGATTACCGATCGCAGGACTTCAAGAGCGGCTGCTGTTCAGGGACTGCTCTGTCCATTTCTGCTGTTAGGCCCGCACATACGCCTATGACCTTTACGATATACCGTAACAACGATAGTTAGGTCGTTTAATACCGCAATTCCGTATTTTGCACAGATCATAAAGTGAGTATAAATTGTCAATTTCCGCCAGCAGCCCACTGTCCCAAAATGAGACCGTCTAGCCAAATGCCAATGCATTCAGTTTAAACTTTTTCAAGTACAGTTCACACTCTACGTTCAATGAAGAAGTTGTGGAAGCTCTTTGTATCAAAGCAGCGCAACTGTTACCAAGGTTCAGTAGAACACTCAACGATATTATCCTCATTAAAAGCGTAAAATCCAATTACGGGTGGCGTTATTTGCAAATAAGCTGTCGACACATTTTTGGTGGATGTGGAATTTGGCGTTGCAAGGTAGCCGGACTGGTATACCAAATTTATTTAAGCTAGACAGCCGACTTTGTACCGTGGAGCTCTTTTTATCCCAATCCACACAACACCAATATCCAGCTCCGAAAAATGTTGGTGAATAATGCCATAACTAAAAACAACCAAGCCGCTTCGCATTAAGACATGGGTAAAAACGTGAACTCGAATTTTACGAAGAGCGTAACTGGGGTGGCGCGGCACGCCGTCGTACGGAATTGGCGTAACGCATGAATTTGTATTTATCGCTGGGTTGAAGCGATAGCAATAAATATTACGGTTTGACAAGTTTGTGCAAATACACCAGTTTGAGGTACGTCTGACGCCGCAAGTGAATTTCATATGCAAACAGCGTAAAATCAACCGTGGCTCGGTGCAAGAGCAGAGCAGGAGATCTTACACGTACGAAACTGTTTAATCCAAAGGGAGAACATTGGCCAGAAAGGAGACACTGCAGATACTGTTGCCGGGACTGTTCCCCAAAGTGTGCTTTGCAACTGATCCGGCCTAACACGTTGAGAGACAGAGTTCAGGTAACGGAACCAGCTAACCGCTCAACGATCGATATATTGTAACTTTGTGTATGCCCGGCGATGAGGAAACAGCGGTTCAGAATAATGGGTGTGCACCAATGTTTTATCTTACAACATAAATTTATGGCCGATGGATTCTACGAACAAACAAGAAAATATAAAATTGATGACCTTCACAAATGACAGCCTTTACTATGTTACGCGTAAGCACATATCACGTGCACATTTTCTTAAAGGGCTGCCTAGCATTTTAAGAATCCAACACGCAGGTCTTCTATAATGCCACTTAATGCTGGTCGAGCAAGCTGTTAGATCGCTTGTTACCGCTCATGAATGCCAGGACAACTGCTTTCTTCTTGCGCGGGAAATGATTTACTTGCTCGCGGGAGGAAAAACTCGCTCGCTCTCCGTTGACCTCATGTAACGCTTGGGCATTAAATGCTGTTAAAGCGGATGGAAGTGCATTGACCCAATACACTCAAGGACAGTGAACGCGGCCAATGAAAACACCACAACTTTTGCCGCATAAAACGGCGAGGTCGATCATCGGAAGATTCCAATTATCAACGGCGTTTTCGCTGGCGTTATTCCAGGCTGGCCGATTCTGCGTATAAGTTGTGCGCACATGTTTTGCCGGCCTGCCGCTGACCATTCGGGTAGTTGGAACGTTCACCTTCTTCACACGCAAAAGCTGGGCGTCTTAACACTAATAAAAGATTTCTAATACTCACTGCAGAGTTATTACTTCCGGGAAAAGTTCCAATCCAGCGGCAAGGTTAACGATCTGGGATATTCCGGGCACACAAAGCGAAACGTTCGCACCTGCAGGATCAAGATGCGCCAGTATCTGTTGGCTGCATTCGCGATACCCACTAATCCCTGCGACGCGCAGAGAAGCCCTTATCCGCTTGGCAGATTTTCCAGTGTGCACTATAAGCAAGGTTCGGTCGCAGACGCTGTATGAACTAGGAGGAAAAAGACAAACAGTGGAGATCCTGTTTGAAATTCCCGGAACACCGAAGGTATTGCGTAAATACCGGTCTCATAACGGGAAAAGGCTTGGGATCTGTAACTTTGGTAAACTGATGCATTCTGCTTCCGCTGCGCGTCCGCAGTTATTGAGAGAAACTCAGTACCGGTGGTGACCGACAGCTGTCCAATTCTGTCGTGACGCACCACAAGCACTCTCTCTGCAAAAGTTTTATTTACTGTTACCTAATATTAGGCAACAGCAACCCGATTAACACTAAAGCAGCCCCCGTTTCACTACTTTTAACTGCCAGTTTGAATTTTACCCGGGGATCAATTAAGTAATCAAATTAGCGAAATCTATCTTCATCAAAATAAATTTACGAGCTCAGATTATCTGTTTCGTTGTGCCGCTGCATGGTTACAGAATTGGGTGAATCGCTTTTCTGTGGTAACTCTATTTATCAAGTAACTTTGAAAACGTACGATTGAACAGGAAGCGCACACACTAAGCAAACTGAATTTTGTAGAGGTTCTTTGGCGGTGTAAAGGAACAGTT